AAATAGAAAACTAATGGATAGGCTCAATAACAAAATAGAGCGGGAGGACTAAAAGATGGTGAATTTGAAGAAATAGCAATAGAAATCATCCAATTTGAAAAAAAAAAAAAAAAAGAAAAAATAGAATGGATTAGAGAAAACAGGAGGACACAAAGACATTGAGAATAATGTCACTGAAGTCCTAAAATGAAAAAACAAAGTGAAGGGGGTTGAGGATAAAAAGTATGTGAAGAAATAATCACTAAAGAATGTTAAAATATAGCTAAATGCATGCACATTGAGGGCATACTGTTAAGTGAAATAAATAGGACACACATATATACATACTGAATAGTTTCTCTGATGTGAGAAACTGAAAGTGTAAATAAGGATCAAAATGTATACTAGATAATGTAAAAAAGGTAGAAAAGGTCCAAAGAGGAAGGGAAAGTGGGAGACGTAGGGGAAAGGAAAGAAGGGAAAGGAATAAATATGATATAAGGAAAAAACAGAAACAAAGTCTTTGTAAATAGGAAGGGCTTGAGGGGTTGAAGGGAGGGCAGGGGAATAGGGAAAAAAATAAGAACCAAGACATATCATGTAAAGTTACAAATTCCCAATGATGAATGTCATCATATTGTATACCTAAAATGTACCAATAAACTTAATGAAAAAAATGAAGTGAAACGGTAAAAGAAAATTATCTAAAGATGTAAACCTACAGATTCAAGAAGCTTAATGAAATTCAATCCCCAAAATCATTCTCTAGACTTGTAAGAACTTCTAAAACCTAAAGACAACTTATGTGCTGGAAGAGAGAATGATAGAACTCTTAAAGACATAGGTGTAGGTAAAGATTTTATGAACAAAACCTCGGTTGCACAGGAAATATTACAAAGAATCACAACTGTTATCTTATTAAAAAGCTTTTGCACAGCAAAAGAAATCATCAACAGAGTGAAGAGACAACCCATAGAGTAGGAAAAAAGTTTTGCTAGCTGTTCCTCAAAGGACCAATATCTAGAATATATAACAAAGTAAAGAAAAAAAAAATCAGACTCTTCAAATTTAAAGACCCAATCCAAAAATGGGCATCTGAAATGAATAGACATTTCTCAGACAAAGAAGTACAAATGACAAATAAATATATGAAAAAAATGTTCAACATCACTGGTCATTCGAGAGATGAAAATTAAAAGAACGCTGAGATTTCAACTCCGTAAAGAATGGTTATTATCAAGAAATCAGCCAATAACAAATGCTAACAGGGCTGTAGGGGAAAAAAGAACCCTTCTCCACTGTTGGTGAGAGTGTAGACTGCTGGAACCACTGTGGAAATCAGTGTGGAGATTCCTCAAAAAACTAACACTAGAGACTCCATTTGACCCAGCTATTCCCTTTCTTGGTATCTTTCCAAAAGAATTAAAAGCATCATCCCACAGTGATATTTGCACACCCATGTTTATAGCAGCACAGTTTGTAATAGCTAAATCTTGGAAACAGCCTAAATGCCCATCAACCGATGAATGGATAAAGAAGATGTGTTTTTTTTTTAATACAGTGGAGTACTAGTCAGCCATAAAAGGATAAACCTTAGACTTTCTTGGTAAATGGATGCACCTTGAGAACATACACTTAAGTGAAATAAATGGGACACACGTGTGTAAATATCACACTGTTTCTCTAGTGTGAGAAATCAAAAATGTAAATATCCAAAAATGTATAATAGATATTGTGAAATAGGAAGCAAATGTTCAAATAGGAAAAGGAACTAGGGAGGGGACAAGAGGAAAGGAAGAAAGGGAAAAGAAAAAAAAACAGGAAAAAATGGAAACAAAGCTTTTGTAAATATGGAGGGGAAGACGGGTTGAAGGGAGGGTAGGGGAATGTGAAAATAGAAGAATCAAGATATATTATGTACAGGTAAAAATTATCTACAACCAATGTGATATATATGTATATATGCTAATAAACTTAATTAAAAAAACAAAAAAGAATTCTATATTGTTGATGGGAATGTGAACTAGTATAAGCATTATGGAAATCAGTATGGAGAGCCCTCAAAAAGTTAAAAATAGAAATTCCATTCAATTCAGCTCTTTTCAAAAGGGTTAAAGATATCATATTACAGTGATACATGTATACTCATGTTTATAGCAGCACAATTCATAATACTTAAATCTTGGAAGTGGCCTATATGTACATCAGCAGATGAATGGATTAAGAAAATGTGACATTTATACACAATAGAGTACTACTTTGCCATAAAGAAGGACAAATTTGAGTCGTTTGTAGGAAAATGGGTGTACCTTGAGATCATAATGTTAAGTGAAACAAAATAGACACATAGCTTAAAAACTACATGATTTTTCTTATATAAAAAACCCAAATTATAAATAAAGGGCAAAATAAAAGATACAGAATAGAAAATAGGGGGCTGGGGATTTAGCTCAGTGGTTCCGTCGCCTGGCTCGCAAGCGCAAGGTCC